TGTTCATATTTGGGAGAAGAATTAAGGGAATATTTGGCTAAACATGAGCATATCTGTTAGAAGATTAATCCTATCTCATATTTCTTGGATATTATTATTTTCCATCACCTGTAAGGTGGTGCAGATAGGTACATTATACATATGCATTTGGTCACTGACCCTTGAAGAGTAATCCTGGTTGTGAAACTTGGGGGTTTTGGGACATTCCAGGTGTCTGAAGCACAGCAGATGTGACACCAGTCTCACGGAGACTCCCAGGCTCCTCAGCAGCAGCTGGAGGCCAGGCACCTTTGGGCACCCCAGGTGACATGGAGCACCTCTGTGTGAGCCCCTCAATTGCTGCCCTGGCCGTGGGTTGTTTGCACTTTATTTATAACGACTTTCCCAAGACCTGAGGGCTTGGTCATGGGGAGAAGTAGATTTCCCCCTTGCTGCCTAATTTACCTTCTGGAATTTTTCTTTCCTTGAAGCACCAGGGGGCTTGCCTGTAGGATGGGTAGGGATGTTGCCAGTGTGCTCAGTGGGCTGAAGAACATCTCAGCTCCTGTATCGGTGTTTTCTGATCAAAAAGTCCAGCTTAAAACAATTGTTAGAATTTTTTCCCAGGTCATCTTGGCAGGATGCAGCAGGATTCCTTTCCCTTTCCCTTTCCCTTTCCCTTTCCCTTTCCCTTTCCCTTTCCCTTTCCCTTTCCCTTTTCCTTTCCTTTCCTTTCCTTTCCTGTCTAAAGCTGGGACAGTTCTCTCCCACTCTTCCTGGGAAGCATTTCCTGATGAAATTGTGGCTGTTGAAGGCATGGAGGACTTTGGTGATATGCTTCAGCTTTCCTCTTCCCTTCTGGAGGTGTTTTTGGACTGCAGGGTTTTTGGACTAAGGGACTTCAGGGCCTTAGTTTTCCAATAATGTCATGGCAATGGAAGGAGGGATGTTCAGGGGTTCCCTCTGGCTGAACACATTACACAGCTGCTCTCCTCCTGTACCCACTGACAGTTCACTGCCTGAGCTGTAACTGCACACAGAATATCTTGTTGCCCATTATAAAGACCCCCAAGCAAATTGCCACACCTTATTCTTTTTAGCATCCTCATTTCTCCCCCAAATCCTCATTACTCATGTCAGAAGATTTTGTAAACTGGGACCAGCAATTAAAATAAAATTAAATTACTAATTAAATAAACAAGCATGTCAGTAAGTAAAATTTTCTATTAATCAGTAGTTACAGGCTGAAAATCTACATTTGGGGTATTTTCAGTTTGTGACTTACTTTCTTTGATAGTTGTGATGGTTCAGAATTCCAGAAACACAACATTTGTCTTTTTCTGGGGTGAAAGAAGCTGCAGGAAATAGATTTGCAGGTGAAGTTCAAACAAGGAGCCAACCCCTGCTTGGAGTCACAGAATCACAGAGTAAGCTGAGTTGGAAGAGGCCACAGGGGTCATTGAGGCCAACTCCTGGTCCTGCCCAGGAGTCCCACCATGTGCCCAAGGGCATTGTCCAAACACTCTTTGAACTCTGCCAGGGAGCCCGTTCAGTGCCCAAGCCCCTTTTTCTAATTTCCACCCTGACCCTCCCCTGATCCAGGGGATCCCTCGAGTCCTGTCACTGGAAGAGATCCTCTCATGAGGAGACTGTGGAGTGCAGTGAGGTCTCCCTTCAGTCTCCTCGGGGCTGTGTTTGGTGCCCCTGCTCAAGGAGAATCCAGCCATCAGGGAACAGTGCTAATAACTGATGTGTGTCCAGTCTCCTGATGTTGTGTTCTGAACTCCTGTTAAAAGGAACCAAGGCTTAAAGCATGGAATGCCCTGCAAAATACATGGAGCACACAGTTCTGGAGTAAAAATATAACAATGAGCAATCCATCTCTATTTCCTGAGACGTGTGAACTGCTCCTCCACCAAATCCAACCTTGCACTGGGATAATGGACACACTTGGAATGGATCGAGACTAGTTAAGAGAGAAGTGAAAAAAGAGGAGTTTAAAAGCCAGTTCTGTCTTAGAAACCTCCCTCTGGCACACAAATATCAGCCAGAAGTGGTATGTGATTGCTTCCATCTGATTCGGAGAGGAATTGCTTTCCAAACAGTGGATGATTTGATCCAGAACTGGAGAACCAGCCTGGCAGTCAGCAGCTTCCTGACACCAGATCTGACCCAGGGCCTCAGAGCTCTGCCAGAAGCAGACAGGTGATCCCAGGAGCTGGAACAGAGCAAAACAAAATTGTAAAAATCCATGAACTAAGTGCAGAATCCATCTGAATTCAGCAAGATGGGCTGTAACAGGAGAGGTTTTATTTATTCCTTGACCTGAACTCATCTCACACCCACCAAAGTGACAAAAGGTCATAAATATTTTTTGGGGTTGCAGGTAATTCCCTTCTGCTTTACCTAACAGGGAAGGATTTTGGAAGATTAATTAAATACCCAGAATTCTCTGTGTGTGTGTGTGTGTGTGTGTATACGTACCTCTGTGTGTGTGGTGTATGTGTGTATAGCTATTTGTTTATTTACTTATATGCATAAACCAGCATTTTTCACACAAACTGAGAATTCATCAATGTGGTATTGCTCTTGTTGCAACTCAGGGATAAAGAGTGCCAACAATTAATGGAGTCATGGAAGCACAAGATGATTTAAGTTGGAAGGGACCTTTAAAGCTCATCTTGTTCCACCCCATGCCCTGGGCAAGGACACCTTCCCTCAGACCAGGTGGCTCCAAGCCATGGAACATGTGCAGAGCTGGGGCAGACACTTCCAGGGGCACAAACACAACTTCTGGTTTTTATTTCACAGTTCTGAGTTGTGGATCTCTTTTGGAGGAAATAACCCCCCACACACACATACAGAGTAAGTGCAGAGTTTTCCAGGCCCCCTCCACACATCCCCTGCAGGCTCTCTCTGTCCATCCTGCCAGGCCAGCAGCCCGTGCTGTGTTCAGTGGTACCAGGCCACCCCCAGCTCCACATCCATGTTCTCCCAGAAACCCATGAGAAACCCATGAGGATCAGTTTACTTTCACATCAAATTTACTTCTTTGCTGGTACCATTTTCCCTGCTTATTCACAAATGTACTGAGCACCACTAACAGCACTAACTGGGGAACTCAAGTGACTCCTGCCTGTAAAAGCTGGGAGCAGAGCCTGACCCCATCTGGCTGCACCCTCCTGTCAGGGAGCTGCAGAGCAATGAGGGAGTTCTCCCAAGTCAGCCCAGCTGAGCACAGGTGTTTCCTGCTGTCCCTCTGAACCTACCACCTGCAAGGTTCGTTTTCTGCCCATTTAGTCCTTGTGCTGGCAGTGGAGATGCTCTGGTCACGGTTGTAGATGTCCTGTCTAGACTGAGGAATCAGAGTTCAGGCATAAATCACCCTTTTCTGGGATGTGAGGAATGAAATGTCCATATCCTCAACTCACTCTGGCTGCAAATTCCTCCTGAACCTGTGTAGTGCTGCTCTTTTCTGTGGTCCTACCAAGTAACAGTCAGTATTACCTGATGCTTATTTAAAGCTCAGTCTTCTCCCTCTTCATTTATAACTGTAGTAAAATAATTCTATTAATCAATATTAAAATTGCTTTTTTTTTTTTGTTCCACACCCCTGCATGGGCATCTCCCATCAGAGATACATACTGTAGTGCTCTGTACTTTTTTTCTCTTACACAGAGAAAAAAAAGAGTGGGAAGATAAATGCAGACAATTCAGACTGTAAATGTAGCTGCATGCGTGGACTATAAAGATGATTATCTCTTGCAATACATCACATGTGGACCTGTTGGATTTTCCTAGCCTTATATTAAGACCATATTTTTTCCTGTTCTATCGTGCAGCTTTACCAGGAGTTTCAGTCTGGAGCAGGAGTAACTTGTGGGAGGTTGAGGCTGGAGTAACACAGAGCTGCTGTGTGCTAAGCAGGTCGGATAAGAACTTGAAACTAGTTTATCCTTACAGCTCTTAATGAGTGACAGTCTGAGTCTGAAGTCTTTATCCTCCCCTCAGTCCATGGCAATCTCTCCCATTTTGGAAGCAGAAATGTTGGATGGCAACGACAACAGCAGCAACACCTTCTGTACTTACCCTCAGTTACCAAACTTAGCAGGAGTCACTCACTCTTTTGGGGAGCATGAGGGAAGTCTCTGCTGGCACCTCAGTGGTAGGGTGGAGGAAAAGAACATTCCAGCATTGACATTAGTTCAGAGTCTAAAGCCAAAGTGCTTTGAACAAATTGTGGGTCAGTCAGATATTACTGTTGTGGCACAGCAAGCTTTTCTTTCAAAAATGGTTTAAAATCAGATTTGTCTATAGTCTCAAATAATTGTCCCTTATAGACAGTCATCAAATACTACATGTGAGCCCCTTCAGCTCTGTTTTTTCTCAACATGAGGAGACTGAAGAAGTGATCACATCCCTTGTTTTTTATTTCTTCATTCGTCTCATGAAGACTCATCTGCCTTCTGACTGTGTTATGCCAGCAGGGCACCCCTATACTCACGTGCACCCACGCACCACCTGCTTCTGATCCCGTGCTGAGGTGGTTATAACACCCAAGAGATAAGGGTCCAGAGGGTGCCCTTGTGTTCAGGCAGGTGCTTTTGGTTTAGGGCCACATTACACATAGTAAATAACTTCTGTAGCATTTGGAAATTAATTTTAAGGAGTGTAGATAATAACCACCTACAGCTTTGCTCTTGACTTTAAAACAAATGATAAATTGAAGCTTAGCAACCAGCAGCCTAGAAGAGAAAGTTGGGCATTCTGTTGGATGCATTGGCCTTGCTTATCCGAGGGCTGCCTGGTTGATTCGTTCCTTATTTTGGCCCAAAACAGTTAACTGTGTGAGGGTAATGGTTAAGTGACTCACACCTTTGCCTAATTTTAGGCTCCCATGCCTTTGGATTGAACTTTCTCCAGCATTGCTCCATGTTCTTTTAATCTCTGTCTTTGCTCTATGGAGAAGATGTGTTGCTGTCATGACTCTGCTCTCATGGATGTTTTTTCTTTCCCTCCAGCTTTCCCTCCCTGATGGCTCGTCGATCCCAAAGCTCCTCACAGGGGGACAACCCCCTGGACCCCAACTACCTTCCCCCCCACTACAAGGAGTATTACCGCCTGGCCCTGGATGTGCTCACAGAGGAGGGCAAGGAGAGTTACCAGCGCTTCCTGGCCGAGGAGGCGGCTCCCGATTTCCTCTGTGGCTCTGAGGTCGATCACATCATCCAGAACCTGCAGAAGCCCCAGTACGCCAACCAGGAGGGCAGCACGGACACTGCGGGGGACAATGACATGGACGGATCCTCCGGGACTTACTGGCCCATGAACTCAGATCTTGCCATTCCTGAGCTTGACCTGGGCTGGCCGATGGTCTTTGGGTTTAGGGGAACAGAGGTGACAACACTGGTGCAGCCACCCCCGCCAGACAACCCCAGCATTAAGGAGGAGGCTCGCAGGATGATTCGAGCAGCTCAGCAGGTGAGACAGGGAGAGCTCAGCTAGAGCAGAGGTAAAATCACACATGTGCCAGAGAAGCATCAGAATAGAGAATCGTAATACAGTGGTTTGGGTCAGAGGGACCTTAAAGCTCATCCAGTTCCACCCCCTGCCACGGGCAGGGACACCTTCCACTATCCTAGATTGCTCCAAGCACCATCCAGCCTGGCCTTGGGCACTGCCAGGGATGGGGCAGCCACAGCTTCTCAGGGCAGGCTGTACCAGGGGCCTCATCTCCCTCACAGGGAACAATTTCTTCCCAATATCTCATCTAACTCTGCCCTCTGGCAGTGTAAAGCCACTCCCCTGTTTTGTCACTCCAGGCCCGTGTCCAAAGTCCCTCCTGAGCTCTCTTGGTGCCACTTTAGGAACTGGAGGGAGCACATCTCCAGGCTGAGCAACATCAGGTCCTCTGCCAATTCCCTTAACTTTGCCTCCAGAACCTGACAAAGGAGCAAGATAATTCAAATCCACCAATGACTGCACCAAACCTTGTCTCTGCTGTCATGGCATAGTGTCCAAGGCCATGCTAAAATACACCAAGAGTTCACAGAATCCCAAAACATTAGAGAGAGAAGGGGCCTCTGGAGCTGGTCCTGTCCACCCCCCTGCTCAGAGGAGGGTCACTCAGGATGTGTCTTTGAGCATCCCCACGGGTGGAGACTAAACCTTTCTGGACAGCCTGTTGTCCCCTTGTTGATAGTCTCCTTACAGTCCCAGAGGCTTTTCTGTAACTGAACTGTGATTTGCTGTGTTTCAGTTTGTGTCTTGTCCTCTCCCTGGGCACCACTGAGAAGAATTTGGCTCCTTCTTCCTTATACCCTTTCCATCACCCAGGGAGCTGGGAAGGACAGGAAGGGAGAGTGTGAAGCTGCTTCCCATATAATCAGCACATGGATGCAGCTGAGCAGTGCCTGCCTGAATGCTGGCCAGGAAGTTACCTAAAAACAGCACGTCAATGTTGTAGTGGGGGACCAGCTCCATACACCATCCAGTGTGATTACATGGCCAAAAAATTCATGGAATCATTGGACTGATAAGTCAGGAAACACCCAGGGAGGTTTTCCCTCACCTGCATACACAGAACATGCACCTTCCTGGACAGAAACTCTCTTTCCAGTCTGGGGCCCACAGTGCTTTACGGGACCTTTAATTGGGATGTTTCCTGTTTCAAAAAGAAGCTGAGATGGAGCTTTGGGGTGTGAGAAGCTGGGAAACATGGTTGGTCAGGACATGAGGTAGCACAGGTGGCTGACTGCATCCCTTCCCCAGGTGGTGGCCATTGTGATGGACATTTTCACGGATGTGGATCTGCTGTTTGAGGTGCTGGATGCTGCTTCTCGCCGAGTGCCTGTCTACATCCTGCTGGATGAAATGAACTCCCAGCTTTTCCTCGACACAGCTGCCAAGTGCAGAGTCAACCTGAACTATGTGGAGGTGAGCAAAGATGAGTTGTGTTTTAAGGGGGTGTGTCCTGTGACACAGAGGGCCAGTATGGCAGGAAACACCTGAAAAAGGGGAGAACGGGCTGTAGCCTGGTGAAAGATGAGTGTGAAGAAAGTGAGGAGAGCTGGCAGGACGTGGGGTGAAGGCTGAAGATGTGCTGAGAAAGGGCTTTGTACATCAGTGTGTCTGCAGGCTGGTGTCCACTGGAGCTGGAGAATAACCCCAGGGCAAGATGGAGGTTCGGAGGAGTCAGAGAAGGAGGGGCAGGGGAGGGAATGAGGGTCCCATCTGAGTCAGTGCCTTTCTGGTTTGCAGTTCCTGAGGGTGAGGACAGTGTCTGGCCCAACCTACTACTGCCGCACGGGGATGTCCTTCAAGGGGCACCTGAAGGAGAAGTTCCTGCTGGTGGACTGCATGGTGGTGCTGAGTGGCAACTACAGGTGAGGAGCCCTGTCTGGAGAGAGACACACTCAGGTGCTGTGTGCAAGGGGCTGGCTACAAAGGAACTCAGCTCCCATCTGATCCATTCCAGAGAGAATTTGCCATAGCCTAAGGAGTGTAAGATTTGCATCTTAGTCTGGACCAAATGAACTTTGACCTCCACTCACAGAATCATCAAATCACAGCATGATTTGTGTGGGAAGGGACTTTAAAGCTCATCTTGTTCTACCTCCACAGCCCCACATGGGCAGGGACACCTTCCACTAGACCAGGCTGCTCCAAGCCCCATCCAACCTGGCCTTGCACACTTTAAGGGATGGGGCAGCCACAGATCCTCTGGGCAATAGAGGTGGGTGGTTTCAGTGGTGGGTGGTTTTAGTTAGGACTGAGATCAGCCATTAACACATTACCACCTTTTTGCGAATAACAATCTTACCAGCTAAAGTGTTCATTTTTGGCAGAATAAATGTTTTTAGTGAATTGCAGTAGAAGAATTTCTTCTTCACATATTAAAAGGTTGATGGAACAAACACCTGTCATGCTCTAAGAATGTAATCATAGAATCACAGAATGGTTTGGGTTGCACAGACCCTGAAGCTCATATGGTTTCTCCTCCTGATGTTGGCAGGGAGACCTTCTAGGCCAGGGTGCTCAAAGCCTACCATGAGTTGCTTCTCATGGTGGAAGATAAGCAAATAGAATTAAGTGTATTTTAAAACACAGTATATGAAGAAAAAGTTAGAAGAATCTGATAAAAGTGCACATTCCTTGAGAATAAGATTCACTTTGGTTTTTTTCCTGATGTTTGAAAAGAATTACTCATATTTGATGCTGTACCAAATAACTAACTGTTATGATTGGATCATTTTTTGTTTACAAGAGCATCAAGTTAATTGTTCAGGACTACTTCTGCCACATTCCCATGTGCTTTGGGCTTTCCAATACTGTATCATTTCTAAAGTGGGGAGTTGTGGAAGTGTTCAAGATGAGGCTTAATGAGGCTTGGATCAACCTGTGCTAGTGGAAGGTGTCCCCGCACATGGCAGGGGGGTAAAACAAGGTGTGGTGTTCCCTTCCAACCCAAACCAGTCTGGGATTCTGAGAGACAGGCTGGTGAATTGGTAAAACAGCATTCTGGCACTTCCACATGGTTATCAGGAACAAAAGTTCTGCTCACTGAAGGAGAAGCAATTTTTTGGGAAAAGTACTTCATTTTGCAGTGGTGGTAGACACACCAGCTAAAGAAGTCCTTGAGCCCAGATAACCCCAAACCAAGCTTCCTTCACATTAAGAATTAAAATATCATTGAAAAAAAATTACAGTAATTCAAAAGGTTTTGGTTAAGTCCAGCAGGCAGCCAAGCCTCACAAAAGTGTCTCTCATGATTCCCAGCAGAATGTGGTAGAGAACTGTAAGGGTGAGAACACTCCTGGGTTGTGATACAGTTTTAACAGCTACAGCAAACCTGCACACACAGGCAAGGCCAAATAAGGGATCCCTTCCCCACTTCCTATCGTCCAGAACATGGGGAAAACAAAAGCAGAGCTGACTTGGGAAGATAAATGCTGTAACACTGAACACCTTCCTCCTCATTTCCAGCCCAGCTCCTTCTGTCCAGGCCCCCAGACTATGTGGGTGGAAGGGTTGTGCCACCCCAGGAGTAAGATCTTGGGTTTGTCTCTTGGAGGTTCCTGTCAGCACATCTCCCCAGCCTTTGGGGTCCCCCTGCCTGGTGTCACCTGCCAGGTGCTGAGCGTACACACTGACTGTTGTCTAGGTCATTAGTGTCGGGGTTAAAGACGGGAACATCTACTTCACGTAAGGATTATCATCAGCTCACACTCTGGGTGACATGACTGACTGGATTTTTAGAACAGAAATCATTTATTGCCTTGTAAAATTCTCTGCTAAGATGTGATCCCAAATCAATCAAGCTGTTAGGTTTGGGAACGGTCATTTCAGCGGGGAAATTTTCTGTTTTTATTTTGTCCTATTTCTGCCCAACCAGAAAATTTAGAATTTGCTTCAGGTGAGCAAATGCTTTAATGAAAACAGGTACAGCTGAGTTACTCAATGGTAACACCTTCCATCACTTCTGTTCTCTCTGCAGTTTCATGTGGTCCTTTGAGAAGATTCACAGGAGCATTGCACACATCTTCCAGGGTGAGCTGGTGGCCAGCTTCGATGAAGAATTCCGCATTTTGTTTGCACAGTCGGAACCTCTCGTTCCTCCAGCCAACGTCTTGGCAAAGGCAGAGAACACGTTTGCCATGGCTCCCTTTGGCAATAACATGCCTTTCTTTCCCAAAAAAGGCCCCTTGATGTTCCAGAGGGATGAGAGTCTCTTCCCCTCCTTCATGGACAGAGTGGATCCAGACAGGTACTTCCTCTCCAATTTCCGGCGGGACGACATGCTGCGGCACACGGTGGAGGGCTCAGCCATGCGGATGTATAAAAAGGTGGAAATGGAGAATTCCCAGATGGACCCGGTCAGGGGTTTCCTCCGTTCCAAGCAGCTGGAGCTGGACGCTTTTAAGAGACACAGTTTTGCAGAAGGAACGTTTGAAAATTTTGCTTCTGCCAAGCAGTACACCCGGCAGATGTTCATGAACAACATGGACGAGTTCAAAATCCAATCCAGTCATTTCCAGAAGGACCAGTTCTACCAGTACCAGTTTGAACATCCCCATCTTTCTGGCAGACCTCAGGGATTCTTTGACAGGATTCGAGGGGGGAGACCGGGATTCAATGAACTGGAAGACTACGGAGAAGGACCCCGATACCCTGAACTGGAGCCCAGTTTCCCCCAAGAGGGTTTCCCCTTACGGCTGGATTACGTGCCCTCAAATTCCTCCAGGGAGGTGAGACACGGCTCTGACCAGCTGAACCCTGCGGGCAACGGCCCCATGGGAATGATGTTACGGAGGCAGAATATAGGACAGAAATTCATTTGCCAGACTTCTCCCACGCAGAAGCAGAGCCTGGAGCAGCGCCTGTTCCTACAGGACAAGGATGAAGACCAGGATGATGACAAGAACACGCAGGAAAACAGAACAGGGTTACGGAACTGGAGGATTTCTTCGTACCTCAGCGCGTACCAGTCTGAAGCAGACGAAGGGCTCCCGATGCCCATGGAGTCTGAGGCATACAACGATGCTCTTGGGGATCCCCTCACAAAGCACCCCACTGACCTCGTCCCAGCCTTCAAACCCCCCACACCTTTCAATAGCAAGCCAATGGGAATGGACAGTGCCAAGGAATCTGCAGATCCTGACAGAGCAGGTGAAGAAACCTCAATAATGAAACCAGATGCCTTCAGGTCCAGGATAAATCCCTTGATCCAGAGGAGCTCCAGGCTCAGGTCCTCTCTGATTTTCAGTGCCGCCAAATTAGATCAGCCCAACACCGCAATAGAAAAGGTGCAGATGATCCAAAAAGAGCAAATGTCCAGTGAGTTAACAAAGGACAATGAAACTATCAAGACAGCTGCCTCCTCCAAAGTGGCCGAGCTGCTGGAGAAGTATAAAGCTGTGGGCAAGGACATGGAACGGGGCACAGTCACCCACACCAAAGCTGTTGCAGGTTACCTGCAGGAGGAATCACAGAATACGGAGAAGAAATGTACCAAATCTGTGCAGTATAAGATTCTGGAGAGCAGGGTGCTGGACTCCAAAGACTCCTGCAGTACTTACAAAATGCATGGAGAGTTGGACAGAGCATTTGGAATAGCTTCATCCACCCCCCAGCTTGGGGACACGTTGAGTAAAGATCCCCTGGCACATCTTGGCACTAAGGTGGACAAGCTGTCATCCCGATTTTACCCCATCGAGAACAAACCTCCTCTTCCAGAGAAGGAGAGCCTGATATTTGTAGGAGACACTCAGAAATTGGCTCTTCCAGAGAAGAAGGACAGAGTGACCTTCAGAGAAGACTCTCCAAAATTAGTCAATACAGAAATTAAGAAACCTCAGGTTAGGACAAGTACTACGTCCTCAGTTCTAGAAAGCCTGTCTAGAAGTCAAGGGTCTGACAGCTCTCTCAACAAATCTGAGGAAGACTGTTCAAAACAAGAGCAAAATCCCATGGAATTTTTAAGAAAAGGGTCACTACGCCTGAAGCAGCTTTTGAACCCAAAAGGTGAAAAGAAATTGGAGGAGGAACCTGCTTCTGAGAGTGGGAAATGCGACAAGCAGGCAGTGGTGCTCAAACGATCATCCACAGGGGACTGCCAGGAAGCGATGGAGGAAGAAAAAAACCCCAAATTTGCAGCACCACTCCCCCCCAAGAGCAGCCAGACAACACAAGGGAGGTTCCCTTCCTCCACAGCCAACATCCTGTACAGCAGCAACTTGCGTGATGACACCAAGGTGATCCTGGAGCAGATCTCTGCCAACAGCCAGAAGAACAGAGCCGAGCTGGCCAAGCAGCTGCCATCCACCAGCAACCCTGACCTCTCCAGGTCGACCACAAGCTTGGAAAGAAAAGGGGAAAAGGAGAAAAGCTGCAACATCCACAGATCTGAGAGCTTTGGGAGCCAGAAAAGGAACCTCCAGCGGCAGCCATCGGAGGATAGAGACACCCTCCTGAAAAAGATGGAGAACATGCGGAAGGAGAAGCGAGTCTACAGCCGCTTTGAGGTGTTCTGCAAGAAGGACGAACACACGAGTCCCAGTGAAGAGGAGTATGACACAGATGCCAAAGACAAGAAAATGGGAAAATTCATGCCAAAAATCCTGGGGACCTTCAAGACCAAAAAATGATTGTAGAAATCCTATTTAATTCCATTTAATCACTGACTATCACAGGGAAACGAGGAAAAAACTTGTCTATGATGGCTACAACCCTCAATGGCAATCCTCTTCTTGATTAGTGAGCAGAAATGTATCCAGCATGAGCCTCCCACGGCACATTTTGCTCAATAAAGTCAGGTGGTATCAAACAGCCTTATCCCAGTATGTTCCAAATAAAACAATTAAAATGCCAACATGCTTTAAAAACAAGTCTCTGTTACTGTACAAAACTAAGTGATAATCTCTGTTAAACTCAATGAATAATTTCAGCAGACAAAACCATTCAAATTTCAGAAAAAAAAAAAACATAAATAGAAAATTTGAGTTTGGGCCAGAAAATATATACAGACACACACACAGGTATTAACTGGGAAAGGTATTTAAAGCTCAGTGGTTTCTCAGGTGAAGTTACTCTTTTTCTGTATCTCAGAATGAATCAGACATAGGAGGCACGTTTTTGAAGGTTTACATACAAAAAAAATAGTTGTAATCAATATTTTGGCCTAATCTGTGGTTCTGATCTTCTCCAGCAGCACTGGCCCAGCTTTTGTATTTAGCAGTTCCTGAGCCTGTGGGTTTGCTTGTGGTTTGTTCCTTTGTGGACAGGGAATTACTTGCTTTATGGACTGAGCTGAAAGAAGCTGCTGAGGTGCTTTTGATGGAGAAGGGCTTGGTTTTAGGAGGCCTTTTCAGGTGAGTCTGAGTTGAAATAAGCATCTAAAGCAAAATCCTGCCTTGGCCAAGTAGTGACTTCCTTGACAGTGCAACTGCAGCTCATGAGGTGACAGGTCTGGAGCAGCATGAACAACTGAGAGAGCTGGGAGGGAATAACAGTCATTCATCACAGGTAGAGTAAAACCTCAGAGACAGAGACAAGAGCTTCAAGTTAATGAGGAAAAGGTATCCAAAATCATCATTGACATAGGAATATAAAGTTTCCTGTAATCCCACTGTAAACTGGCAACACCTTTACAATGTCTCAGCAATAGTATCTCATGAAAATTTGCTTTCTGAAAGCAAAAACAATAAAAATGACCAATTACTCATTGAAGCAGACAGCCCTACCAATAGGCAGTTTCCCTCTCAACACAGCAAATGCTGCTTGAAAGACAAAATTTTTCTGCAGTGCAATAAAAAGGATTTATTATTGCAATATTGCACACTAGAGAAGCTGTAAAATATTGTAGAAGAACCCACCTATATTTCAAACACTTTTCTACTTGATTTTAACAAAACCAGACTATAATGAATTCTGTTCATCTAGCCTAGAACAGTCATAGAAATGAGTGAAAGGCTGTAACATTATCTCTGAACAGTTAGGTCTTCATGGTCTTCAGAGAACAGCTACCTGTTCTACTAAAAAAAAATATCCACCCTTTAGGAAGACTGCTGAAGAATCCTAGAATGGGCTGGGAAGGACCCTTTAAAGATCACCCAGTTCCAACCCCTGCCTGCCATGGGCAGGGACACCTTCCACTAGCCCAGGGTGCTCCAAACTCCGTCCAACCTGGCCTGGAACACTTCCAGGGATGGGGCAGCCACAGCTCTGGGCCCCCTGTGCCAGGGCCTCAGCACCCTGACAGGGAAGAATTCCTTCCCAATACCCGTTCTAACCCTGCCCTCTGTCAGTAAGAAGTTATTCCCCCATCCTGTCACTCCAGGCCCATGTCCAAAGTGCCTCTCCAGCTCTCCTAGAGCCTCTTTAGGTACTAGAAGGGGCTCAAAGGTCTTCCCAGAGCCTTCTTTCCTCCAGGCTGGACACCTCCGAGTTCTCCCAGCCTATCTCCAGAGCCGAGGGGCTTAAGCCCTCAGAACATTTTCTTGGCCTTGCACTTGGCCTTGTTGAACTTCAGGAGATTTCCCTGGACCCTAAATATGTCTAAAAACCACTCAAGTATCAGAATAATGCATTTTTCTGCGATTTTTTTGCAGTAATTCTAACAAGGAGTATGAACTGACAGCATTCACTGTTCTCAGGGTGTGAGAGCAAACATGCTGTGTTCTTGACTGCTGAGACTGGAAGGCAGTGGAGTTGGATTCCCTTTCCTATTAGCTTGTACAGAGGAAAGAAGGACATTGTCCTAAGCAGTGAATAAAGCATTTCCTCATATTTTGCTCTCTCCTGCTGCCCTTGCTTAGTCAGGGGCTGAGGGATGAGCTGTACTTCACCTGTGTGGAATATCTCCACAGTCACTGCTCAGGGGTTTTGGAGGCCTTTGCTATTGGAAGACTCTGCAGTGCAGATTTACTGATGGTGCCATAGGCCTGGGAGTAGCTGCCCATGGATGCCCTTGGATCACCCGCAGCTTCCACGTTTGCAGTGATCTGGAACATCTTTTTACTGGGCTTCGGAAGGGGACGAACATCTTTGCTGTGACACTGAGAGTTTCTGGGATTCTGTGTGAGAAAGAAAAGCCAAGAAAAGTTAACCTGGAATCAGCTTTCTGGAACGCAAATAGGACACAGGTTTGGCTTTGGTCAGCACTATCCTCTCAGGAAACAAACTCAGGGCACTTCTCCCTCTTCTGCTCTTCTTGTCACAGAAAGTTGGTCACAATTCCCTAAAGATTCTTCCAAATGCATAGGCCATCTATACACCTGCATGTGCAGCAAGCTCCACAACCCCATCTTGGGGAATAAATGGCTTCTCTTTCTCTCAAAACATTTTGTAAGGGATTCTAAATTAGAGGGGCAGAAATGTGGGTTGCAAATGTGCTACTGGACAGGCTTGAAAGTTTCTGACAACCTGGGCTAGTGGAAGGTGTCCCTGACCATGGCAGAGGGGTGGAATGAAATGAGTTTTTAGGTCCCTTCCAACCCAAGCAGGCTGTGGTTCTGTGAATCTGTGGTGCCTCCTTCCATACTCTTCCTCTGTCATAAGCTTCCTCCAACCACCTCTGCAGGTGCCAGCAGTCACCAGGCAGCAGGCAGCCAGCTCAAGAGAAAAAAAGCAGGAGCAAGAGGTCATTAAAGAACCCAGTGAGGGTGAGGACTTTTGCAAGGAAGCATGGCCAAGATGAGGGAAGACGGAGGAGCAGAGAGGACAGGACTGACACCCTCACAGCTCAGCAACAACAATCCATTAGAACCACAGAATCATGAAACGACAGAATCACTGAGGTTGGAAAAGCCCTCTGAGACCACTGAGTCCAACTGCTCCCCCAGCACCACCAAAGCCACCACTAATCCATGTCCCCTAGTGCCACATCCATGTGGCTGTTAAAACTCCCCAGGGATGGGGACTCCACCACTGCCCTGGGGCAGTCTGTGCCAGGGCTGCACATCCTTTGCAGAAGGGTTTTTTCCAATATCCAACCTGAACCTCTCCTGGAACCACTTGAGGCCATTTCCTCTCATCCTGTCAATTGTTTCCTGAGAGCAGATCCTGACCTCCACCTGGCTGCACCCTCCTGTCAGGGAGTTGCAGAGAGTGAGAAGGTCCTCCCTGAGCCTCCTTTACTCCACAGCTACTGCTGCTGCTTCAGACCCTCCCCCAGCTCTGTTCCCTTCTCTGGACACACTCCAGCCCCTCAATGGGGCCCCTCCTTTCTTCCTGTGAAGAGCCCAAACTTGCCCCCAGGACTGGAGGTCCCTCAGCAGTGTCTAGCATAGAGGACAGGTACTGCCCTGGGCATCTGGCCACACCGTGGCTGGTCCAAGCCAGGTGCCATTGGCCTCCTGCCTACCTGGGCCAACCTGTCATCAGCACCAGCAGGTGACCTTTTCCAGCCACTCTGCCTGGAGCACTGCATGGAGTTGCTGTGACCAAGGTTACCACAAGTAAGGGTTAGAAGTTAAGCTACTCACATTATAAAGATTCTGCACACTTGTAGGAGAGACCCGAGTGTCTGGCCACGTGATTTGTCTCCCTACTTTCTCACAGTTGGAGATTCTGGACTGCTGAGGTGGTGCAGAACAGTTCCTGATCCCAGCACCAGGATTTGCATTTCCTGCAGAAGGAAAAACATGAGATAAACTAGGAAAATCTGAAGGACACAGAACACATTGACTGAGGCAGGGACAGTCCCACACTCAACATTCATTCAACAGTGTTCTGTTCTTATGTCATTTCCCTCCCACACTTTCAGCCCCACATTTTACCATGCAAATTCCCTTCATTTGTTTTACAGCACTCATTCTCTCTTCCCCACAACAACACCCCAAGGTGGGTTACACCCCAGTGTAGGAGGGTGGTACCTACTCTGCACAGTGGTGTGTGTGATGGGGTTGTATACCATTACACTAATCTGTGATCTCTGACACACAGTTCTGGCCAAATCCTTGCTCTGGCTGGAACCTGCTGGTTGGACCCCAGCTGTGGCTCCAGTGTGCACGTGTGAAGGGTTTAGAAGAGGGGGTGTTGGTTCTTGCTGGCCTTTCCTGGTGGGTACAGTCACTGAGCTGAAACCTGGGAGAAGTGTGCTGGATTCAGACTGGCTCAGCTGAATGTTTTCTCTCTGCCTTTGCTCCTTTGGAAGGCTCTTTGACTTCTTTTCAAGGATCATCTGCAGAACAGAAAACCTGGTTAGACTTAATACAGCAATACAGCAGAAAAATAAAACATCAAAACAAAGAGGAATACTTATACATATCTGTAATTTATTTTACAGGGTAAGTAACAAGTAATTTTGGCACTAGATGATCTTTAAAGTACCTTTCAACCCAAACCATTCTGTGAATCTTTCTCAGACATCATGCTTCAGAGATTTTTCTTTGCCCTGTGGGAATTTGACATACAAAGATCTCTCAAAGATTACAACAGTTTGGAACTGTGTAACTGTGCCAGCAGGTATGGAAAGCCCAGGGGAACACAAAGACAAGACAATGACAGAGTTTGTTAAGTGTGTGCACGAATGGCAGGTGGATTTGGGAAAATTGGATGAAAGTACCTCATATAATTTATTTCTATATTCTGCCACAGACAGCTGGACATCATCACCCAAAGGAAGGATCACATCAGAATCCAAAGAGGGCTCCCTGGAAGGACAGTGGAATCTAAGAAAATGAGAACACATCATGTAATTCACTGACTGGAAAACAGATTATTAAAATTTAAACAGGATTGTTAAACAATTTCATGTAAATAGCGTTGGAGAAAATAAAGAATTAGCTTTGCCATTTTTTTCTGTAATGCATTTAAAGAAAATTTGTGCCAAGAGCAGGTTTGTAATGTCTCAGAAGACATCGGGGAAGCTGCATATTGGTGTCATTCTCACCTGCTCACATAAGGATGCTGCAGAGCCTCCTCTGCTGTGAGCCGTTTGTCAGGGTTAAATACTAGAAGTTTCTTCAGCAAATCCAAGGCAGGCAATGGAGTAGAGGATGGGAAAATCTCCTCAAATGCTACTCGCTGCCTAAAAGTCAGAAAAATTTTTACAAGCTCTCAGTGAAGGCAGGAGTGACAGCTCCAGAATCACATCAAGGTGACACCAGACACGAGTTCACTCACAAAGCGTGTCATAATCACTGAATCCTAGAATGGTTTGGCTGGGACAGGACTTTAAAGCTCATCACTTTCCAGCCCCATGATCCCACAAATCTAGACTTGAGATTATAGAAACATACTTCTCTGTAATTTATAGAGAAGATAAAATTTAAAAATCTGGTTTTGCATTTTGAAATCCCAAGTATAATTATGAACATAATGAAGAAGAAAGTATCTTGAAAAAAATCAGTTTTAAGCACCAAGTCTTACTCATATTTTAAATAATTTTTATTTAAGGAGACAACTTAGAGCCCTCTCCAGTGCCTTAAGAGGCTCAAAGACAGCTGGAGAGGGAGTCTGGACAAGGGCCTGGAGTGACAGCACAAGTGGGAAAGGGCAGGGTTAGCTGGGGTATTCAGAAGAAATTATAGCTTTTGAGGATACTGAGGGACTGGAATGATTTCCTGGAGAAGCCGTGGCTGACCCCATCCCTGGAAGGCCAGGCTGGATGGAGCTTGGAGCAACCTGGTCTAGTGAAAGGGGTCCCTGTCCATGTCAGGGGGGTGGAATGAGATGATCTTTAAGGTCCCTTCCTACTCAAACTATTCTGTGGTTCCAGGACTCCGTGGTCCTACATTAGATGATCTGAGACACACAAACACCTCCAGCTTACCGGGAACTCATGTGGTTAATAACTGAGGCCTTGTACTCTGACTGCAGAGCCAAAATATCTGCAATAATAAAAAGATACTGTTACTGCCAAGATGAAGATTAGCAAAGCTACACAGTTTATGAAGGAAAGCCAATATTTGATATTAACATAGGAAATTGTCCTTATAAAACTCAGTTGGAGATCTATGGAAGGGAGATGGAATATTTACTGATTAATTTTCTAAGCTGATTTTTGAATTCCTATTTATTAATCATGCAGAAGCACCACAATATCTGAATTTCTTATTTTCTTCTAACACTAAGGATGGAGATTTTAATTTCTTTTGAAAGGTGCCAGAATGAATGAGAGATACTTTCTTCCCTGACCCAGCCAGGCTGCTTTCTTCCACTCTTAACCCCCTTCTCTAGATACCTTTCCCCACAGCAGAGTCCTACCTTCTGGGGATGGAGCAGGGATGACCCTCAGGATCTGCTCTATTTGATTCATTGTTGATGTTCCAGGAAAAAGGGGCTTCCCAAGCAGCATCTCTCCAAGAATACAGCCAATGCTCCACATGTCTACACCCTTCGTGTAACTACAAACAGGAACAGAACAGAGGTAGGATTAAATCAAGCAAATATTTTTTTGTACCTGGTATTCACATCACCTACATTGATTTATTTGCTAGAAAGCATGCTTGGTGACTTCTCAACTATAAGTGCTCACACGTTTGAACTATAAATTGAATAACATTTGGCAATCATGAGACTGGCAAGCATGAAACAGAAAGGAGACTTATCCTACTTGAAGTCTAGTCTAAGAAACCATAAAAGGAAATATATTATAGGAATTACAGGAATGCCATAACCAGGTAATATATTAAAGGAAATGCCAGAACAAGGTATTATTACATCCTTCTCATATGACCAAGAATGAAGATACATATTGTTCTTCAGAAACAATTGACTTTGGTCATAATGTACATACGAAGTAGTTACAATTACTTAAGAATTACATTTTTAAGCAAAGTAAATGCAAAATAGTGGGTATAGCACAGTTTGCAAAACACCAGCTTTTAAAATTTGGGATACTACCCCACATCTATTTATTTACTTTTCTGGTTTTTCGTATTTAATTTTAATAAAAAGGACTAAGCTTGACTTACAGGCAGCTGGTTTAACATTTGATTAGGGAATATTTTGTGAAGGTCTATCAAAAAACACTGCTTCAATTTGGAAAAGAGGACTTATGTTCTCAAGCAGATTTTGTAAAGCTGTGGGTTTAAGGAGAAGAAATAAGTCTGGCGGGAGAAAGGGTGACAAACAGATGAGCTGCTCATGTATGTACATTGAGACTGTAAGAACATAGGAAAGACATGTACGTGTTCATAAGAGGTTTGTATGCCACAGAAGTTTGATTGTATACTGAAAAAACAAGACTGCTGACATGACACTCTATCTGGTGACCCTGAAAATGAAAAGACTGCAGACTTTTAGACAAAAGCAATTTGCAAGTGGTGGAGAAGTGCCAGGCTGCCATCCCCTCACCGACCTGCGAGAGGCCAGCAGGATCTCAGGCGCTCGGTACCAGCGCGTGGCCACGTACTCGGTGAGGGCAGGGCTGGGCTGCTCCTCGCCCAGCTGGCACAGGGAACGGGCCAGCCCAAAGTCACACAGCTTCACACAGCACTGGCCATCCAGCAGGACGTTGGAAGGCTGCATTGAACACAGCAGAATTCATTAGCCTTTTACTCTCTGAATAGCAGAAGATTGTTATCAAGGTTCTTTCATTAATCTCACACTTCTATATTTCTTCATATTTTTCCTATGGAGAGAGGCTGGGACAGCTGGGGGTAAGCTCCAGGGAGATCTTAGACCCCTTTCCAGTGCCTAAAGAGGTGCCAAGAGAGCTTGAGAGGGACTTTGAACACAGGCCTGGACAGCACAAGGGGGAATGGCTTCCCACTGCCAGAGGGCAGGGTTAGATGGGATATTGGGAAGGAATTCTTCCCTGGGTGGGTCGGGAGGCCCTGGCACAGGGTGCCCAGAGCAGCTGTGGCTGCCCCATCCCTGGAAGTTTTCCACGTCAGGTTGGACAGGGCTTGGAGCAACCTGGGCTAGTGGAAGGTATCCCTGTCAATGGCAGTGGGTGGGAATGGATGAGCTTTGAAGGTCCCTTCCATCCTAAATCAATCTGTGATTTTATTTAGTGTTCAAGAGAAAACTAGAGCGAAGGATACAGAGCATGGCCAAAATGTACCTTCTGATCCCTGTGAATAACATTCCCTGAGTGGATGAATTTAGTTGCCTTCAGGAGTTGGTAAAGAATGTAACACTTGTGGATGTCTTTCAGCAAATTCCCCTTTTTAATCACAGCATGTAAATCTGTCTCTGTAAGATACCAGTAATATATTGACATCAGCAAATACCAGTAGTATCATGAACATTCAGGTATATCACCACCACACCACTAGCAAAGTGATAACAAGGATAACTCCCAAGAGAGGCTGGGTTTGAACGGCTGCTGCAATGCTGAGTCTTACCCATGGACTCGAAGATGAGGTAGACGTCCTTGTCATTCTCTGCTTGGATAACATCGAGCAGCTTGATGATATTTGGATGTTCCCCAAATTCCTGCACAGGGAAGAGACTCAGCTGTAAAAATCACGTGTTCTGCTTGTGAATCATAAAAAGGTACAATAACTATTTCAGTTTGTATTACTGTCTGGAACAAGCATTAATATGCTATTTCCTCCATTAGACTTCTTCTGAAATGAAATTTTAAAAAGGATTTAAGTTTGTTCCATAGTAGGAAACCAGTCAGTTAATCAAAAAAATAATCTCTGTTGAATGAGACATTAGTTCTAACGCTCCCTTTATATTATTTATAATAAAATCCAGTCCCCTTTATGCATCTCACATTTCCTACTGAACCAAAGAATTATTGTGGCATGAAAATAGATCATATCTGCCCTCAGCATTCATAGGTAAAAACCCAAACAATGAGAACATGTCCATCTGAGGGCTAGCTCACACAATCAAAGGCTGCTTTGAAGAACTGAGTGGATGGAGATCAGACAGCACACAGAGATACCTGAACACAGGTATCACACTGCAGGTGGAGTCCATCCTCACATTTTTGCAGACTGGCAATCCTCATGGGATCATTATGCTCATCCCCAGCTTTAACAGCTTTTATTTCCCACTTCTGTGCAGCCAGGGACACCATAAACACTTCATAATAGTCCAACATTTTATAATGTGTAACATCTAGGAAAGTTCACAAAACAACACACTCACCTGCAGCAACCTGTGAAAACACACTCACCAAGCAGTGATACCCAGCCAGGCCATCACACACATTGTTTTCATTCTGAGAATAGTCACAATACCCATGCAAATGATCTAAAGAAGGTTTTTACCCAAAAGGGGATATTGTTCTAGAGATGCAGCTAAATCTTGACAGTGTTACTTGAGTCCTATTTAGGAAGGAAAATTCCACTGTCTCACACTGCCTTGCCCTGAAACTGATAACAGAAAGTCATGAAAAAATTTCAATCTGTTCTAAAAAAAAAACATGTTACCTTGAAAAAAATCTTGTCAGGGCCAGTTCTATTATTCTTTGCCCAAAGAATAATAATGCTACTAACATACTTACCAAAATGACATTCTAAAACTGGCCTAAAATGCCCCCACAGATCTACAACTACACTCAACAGCAAACACAAAACCTGCAAGCAATGATCAGAGCATCAGAGAATCATTCACACTCCAAAGTCTACAGCAACTTCTCAATTAGAATAATTGAGAAACATAATGTAAAACAATAACCTAGTCCACCAAATGACCTTGTGATAAACGTCAAGACTGAACAAAACAATTATTATGCACAAACAAATTAAGACAAACATGCACTTATGAATAATGGAGTATTTTTCACATCTTTTCCTTTCTGAGCCCTCAGTCTTGAACCTCAAGAAAGAGGTTTAAAATAGGAGGGGAAATCAAAATTCTTAAAAGTCTGTTGAGCACCAAAAGTTATGGAAGTAGGGCTGATCAGCACATTAACTTCCTTCTCCCTGCCCTCCACTACCAAATGACTCCTTCTTTCCTTCAGAAGAAATATCCTTCTTTCCTCTGCTCTTCCTCCATCCATCCATTCCAGGAGTGCTGCACTTTCAGAGATGATCTATCTTAGAGGTAATTCACTTCTAAGAAATTGTTTCTATTTTTAGCTTTAAAGTTTGCAGCTTCTATTTCAGCCTTCAAGAATTACTAAAAAGCAAAAAAATCCCATCTCTTTCCTACTTAAACTTGGCAGTCTTAGGAAATACCTCTTCTGTGAGCCCTGCCTCACTTGTGTCCTTAGAAAATCACAAGTTATACCAACATTATTCCAAAATATTGATGTTTCTACATGGTAAGTCTGAAGAGGAGTGGCCAGATAATTGGAATGCCACTGATAAGGTAAATTATAACAAAACAAGAGTAGTCTTAAGTTATTCCTTGCAGAACTTTCCTTTTGCTTTTGGTTTGATTATTTTAAGTGATTAAATTGCTTACAGCATGACGGAGGAAAACAATTGTGGAGTGTAAATCCCTCTCCCACTCCAGCCTCTCTTCCAATCATGGCAGTTAAAATGTAAGAGAAACAGTTTCAATCCACGAAGAAGCAAAAAGTGACAGAAGGTGCAGATGTGCTGAGGCTGCAGCAGCCACATGGCTAAAAATGGGGAAAGAGCAGGAAAGAGTAAAAATAAGCCCAAATGGAGAATGTTTCATACAGGTGGGTTCACCCTGAAAGGCTCTTTGCCAAGATGGTGCAAAAAACAAATTAAAGATTTATCACTAATAACACTAAGATTTAACACTAATAAATGACTGCTTCGTTTTGGAAAACAATGGGAAGAAAATACTTAGACATGAGAGATAATAAAAAAACAGAGAAGAGGGGGAATATGGACATTACCTGCAGGAACATAATCTCTCGAAATGTTCTCTAGAAATAAAGAAAAAACAGTTTATTATCACCTCAAGAGAAAGGCAGAACAGAGATGCAGTTCAGTGACAGCATTAAATCCACTCCTCTTTTGTACATGCCATGATACACAAAGCTTGATATTTGTTGTTTGTTTTTATGCTAATATAGCTGCAGACTATATTGTTACATGCATAATTATCATCTTTTAGAGACAAAAATCCTGAAAATACCTATGGAATCCCATCACGTCTCAGAACACAACAGGACAATAATTTCTCACCTGAGCATCTGTTCTGTTCCTGAAAGCATCAAAAATCTTTTTAACAGCAACTGTTTCTCCTGTCTTGCGGTCAGTTGCTTTCCAGACGATGCCATAGGCCTG